ATACATCAAAATAAGTTTATGGTTGGAGTGGGTTACACTGGATTTGTATTATGCATGCTCAGTAGTACGGTATAAGTTGCTAAGTCACTAGATGGTCCCAACAATTCATGCCTAAGTAACTATTTTAAAAACAAATAAATATACCATATGTAGTCAACGCTTAAAATCTTCTTTTAAGTTACTATGCTGATTCAAGCTTGTGCAAGTTTTCTAAACTATACACTTTGTACTCACGGCCCTACATTGGCACAGTTACAAATTACTTGCAAAATTTCTAACTTGTACCTTCTTTTATTCGTATTTCCCATGTTGATTTTACAATGAAAACACCTTTAAGAGGCTTGTAACAGTAAGAATTCAGTCAGAGCTTGCTGTCCAGCTGGATTTCAAATCATTCATTATTTACCTGCAGACTGTAAGAGCACTTATGGAGTATGCCAGTATCATTTGTTCAGAAATACACAATCATTTCTTAGCCCTTCTATAATACCCTAAATGTGATTAACAGATATTTTGGTTCCTGAAGTAGAAATCAAAACTTAAAGGTTATGTTTGATGAATTATTCAGAAATAAATAATAAAGTTTATAATTATTAAAACTGAACAAAATATGTCCTATTATTTTAACTGAGCAAGTTGATACAGAATCAATAATTTCAAATAGCATACAAAATTTGAAATTAAGAACATTAGTTGCCTTTTTTTGGTAAACTGTGACAAATTTGGCAAATAAAAATAATTTAAAACAATGAGTTAATCTTTCAGACTTGCAGGAGGTAAATTACATGGATCCTAAAACATTTATCATCATTTCAACTAAACTGCCCTCTGTAGAGCAATTTTAGAACTTTTTCCTAAGTATGTGTGTATGTGTAACAAACAAAATATGTACGGGATAATGGAGTAACATAAGAAACTTATGAAATATGTTTATCCTCTCAATTAATAAAAAGAAACATTAAAAAAAAATAACACAAACTCCTCCAAATAAGTTTACCTCATTGACCAGATTCTTATATATTATTGTGATGCATACACACAGTTACTGTTTCTCCTGATGTTGTAATAAATGAACAGAGGTTATAATCATGCAGCCAAATGTAAGAAAGACAACAGTAATTTATGTCATGCAGGACCCGTTCTTAAACATCTCTAAAAGAAGCTTGCCCATGGGAGAGACTTCGTAGAAAATGTCACACCACAGCTGGATAATACCATTGATAGAGGTGATAGTAATCACTGAGCTGGGAGCTAACTTAAAGACGTTCTCAGTATTAGGGGGCAAGGTCAGGAAAAAGCTCAGTTTTTGAAACAAAAACAAGAAAAAAATGAACTAAACTAAAACTAGGAAAATCACGGCTAATCCACTTGAGGATGGTGTTTGTAAATATGTTGCTGATGAGAATAGGGTTTCTTTCAATGACATACATAAAGTCAAGGAATTTCTCCAAAAATAAAACAACAACAAAAAACAAAAACAAAATAAAACAATAACCAAAAAAAAAAAAAACAATCTACTAAACTCCGTGGGGATCCATGAAGTAACTGTTGTTGGACAAAAGTTTTCTGCAAGAAGCCTAGAAAAAGGAAAGTTAATGTGGTAATAACTTATCAGTGTTAAGGTTATACTGTCCATGGAAAGGTAGAGACTGATAATTCTTTAGAATAAATGTTTTAGACAGAAGTACTTGTATGGTGGAAAGCTTAACCACTCATCCTAGTTTTATGAAAAATATCCCTTAGAACTATCAAACAATCTTTCATTTAATAACATTCTCACAACCAAATCACCATATATATAATCCAACCTCTAATGGACCTGTACTGTGAGCATGAATTTTGCCAGGTATTTCTCTCATAATTGAAATTTTGATTCATAAATCATTCCCTGATGAGTTTGGTTCATATGTTGGAGGCCTCCAGATTCAAATCACCTACAGGCGAATTCGGAAAATGCAGTTTCTAAAATAGCAAAACTGCAGAGGAAAATCTGGAATGAGATCCTAACACTCCCTCTTGATGTAATTTTCAAACTGCAACAAGTAGTAGTTACTTAGTTTTCTACAGGCTTAGTGACTTTATTTAACAAGGAGACCTCCCTCTAAAGCAATAGCTTTCCAACTTTTTTGAAGGTATTCCATGGTAAAATAATGCCTTTTCCATCATGATACAGTACAGAAGTACATATGCATGTGTATATTATATACATAGGGAACCCTGGTGGTGCAGTGGTTAAGCACTTGGCTGGTAATCAAAAGGTCGGCAGTTCAAACTTACCAGCCACTCCGCGGGAGAAAGATGTAGCAATCTGCTTCTGTAAAGATCACAGCCTTGGCAACCCTATGGGGCAGTTCTGCTCTGTCCTATAGGATCACTATAAGTCAGAAGTGACTTGACGGCAATGGGGGGTTCATTATGTATATAACTGAAAAATAAGTTTGATCAAACAATGCTTATCCCAACTATGTGTGAAGTTTTCTGATAAATTTTTGTTCTTTTATTTCATTTAAAAAAAAAATTTTGATTATAGCTCATTAAACTTGATTCCAAAGTAACTCATGAGTTGAGAACCAAAGTTTGAGAAACATTTCTTTAGATTATTCTAGAATCCAGACTAATCATATCTGAAAAACTTCAACTAACATTCTTTACCTAGGTACTGTCTTCCCAAAGCAAGTCACTTCCCCTTATTAGCTAATGTGTTTTAAGAGAAGACATTCCTGAAATGTGACTATTTTTCTATGTGCACTATCCCAAATACCTCACTATTTTCCATTTTCATAAAGAAAAAGACCTCCATTCTAAATAGCAGAAAGCTTTCTGAGGGGGAAAAATAAAGACTGAATAAAGAGCTAGGGAATACAATGAATGAGCAAAATATCCTTTCCTGGCAATGGAAAGTACACATTGTATTTCAGATAGCTATCCAAAACTGAACTTTATTTAGTTTTCACTTAAAAAAGAAACGAACCAAACAAACTGTGATTCAAGCAACTCTTCTAGGCATAGACATTCCAATGCTCTCAGAGAACACTTAGAAAGGCATTAGCACTCTGTTGTGGTAAAAAAAAAAAAAAAAAATTAATCTTGTAAAGATCATCCAGCATAATTTATGTGATTTCCATATTGAAGCAGTATTTGAAGCCCAGAATTTCGCCATTTTGTTATTTCCACCACCCCTGGAAGTTGAAGCCCTTATTATTCGACATTTATTTAACAGTTTTGTTAGGCTAGGTTTTGCTGTTACTCATTCTGAAGGTACTTTCTTATAGAACTTGCTTCTGTTCTAAAATATATTATCATTGCCTGTTTAAACTGCTTTTCAGATTCTATTTCCTTTAAATTAAAGCAAGTATTGCTCTAAAGGAGAAAAAAATCTATTAATTTTGTCAATATGAAGAAAGGCTATTTTCAAAACAGACTGTTTAATGTAAAGGGACTTAACATAGAACCTATTAGAAATGAGGTACAAGCCCTTAAAAATGCTGGGATCTTTTGTTGTTTAAAATGAAAGTTCTGTCCAGGCTTAGCTGAGCTTGTAGCCCAAGTGAATATTTACATATGAATTTATAAATCTTAGGAATAGAGTTTTATGGAAATGTTAGCAGACCCTTAGGTATAGCTGAACTTGTTTTCAGGTACCGCTATAATTTCCAGTGTGTGTATGCTTAAAGACTGCAACACAAAAGACTTTTTCTAATGCTGTAATTTCGCAGTTTTATTAGACTGAGTTATAGTATGGAAGAATATTCAGAAATTGCAGCAAAAATGAGAAAATGTGAATGGTGTTACTTATATAAAATACTACTGCAATAGTCCTTTTATTAATTTTTAATGTTCAGCACCCTCTGTGACCTCCTTTATTCTCTTGCTGTCAACATGGCAGGCTAGAAAAATTGAAATGGGCTGACAGAAAACATAGGCACGTTACAGCCCAACTCTGGAAGCTCTCAACTCCCTTTCGGTGGTACACGCTAACTCAGTCCTCGTTATTCTGCATAACAATAATATTTAAGGCCTTTTTTGATAGCTCCTGATAAAAGAAAGTTGTGTCTGGACCCTGAGCAGGTGCTCCTCGTCAGCCTTCCTCTTTCTGACATTGTGGGCATGGCATTCAATTAAGCACAGAATGTAACCTTTTTTTTTTTTATCATGGCTTATAGGCACACTTCATGCTCTCAAAACAATACTTCAGCATAGATAGAAGCTTTATTTGTCTAGCCAGTCTCTTCCAAAGGCACAGTTTGGTCTGATTCAGCAATGCTTTTCTTCAATAGTGGGACACTGCTATGTTATGTATATTTACCACTGTCTCTATCACCAAGGAGACTAATCCCCATACCAGTACAGTCAAGAACCTCACAGCATTGTCTTTGCAAGACCAAGTTCATGTTGTCACAGCAACAGTGCACAGGGCAAAGACGCTGAACAGGACTTTGGGATTAAAACTTCTCTTTCTTTTTAAATGCAAGTGCTAGATGATGAGAAAGAGTGAGTAAAGGTGTGAGGTCTGCAAATGTCTTGTCAGCTACACATATAAATGCAACATTTTAATGATTTGTCTGGGGCAGTGTTAAAGCAAGATTTTTTGAGGAAGGTAGATTTTTTGAATTCTAGGAAGAATAAAAACTAATCCAGGCAATGAAGCAGATATTATAATCAGGGTGTTTATATTTTTTCTCTTAGATCGTCCTAGTATTAGCCTTTACTAAAAGCAACAAGACAATCGTGACAATGAGAAATTCTAGTAAAAGCACAGACAACAAGAGAATAAAATTCTTGAAAGACCCTATCTCAGCCTTCTTTCATTCTATGCTAACAGTCACTTGAGCCTTCGCACTCAATCTGTTCCATCTGTTGTAACTATTAGCAATATTGACCAACAATGAGTTATAAGAATTTGGGATTATAAAAGACATGAAACTTCTGCTTGCAACATGACCTTCTGATTTTTCAGCAATCTCGGAGGAAGCATAATGATAGGAGAGAGCAACACCTACCAGACACTCCACCATATGTGGTCCGCTTTCCAACGCCCACTGCCGGCCAGGGTGTGCTATCAGCATTTAATCCCATCAGACCTGAGACAGTGTTGGTGGCTGTAACACCGTCGGCACCACCTGTGAAAAACACATCAATAAAAAATTTCTTGCAGTTCTTAAAGAGACAACTATTCAAACCCACGCAACCCGGGAAGATGTACACGGTACTTTCTCTCAAGAACATTTCCTCCTTTCAAATGTCTTCACTAACTTACTTCCTACAATGATGCTTAAAATGCAAGGCATAAAAACAAAGTTTTATTTACCACCATTTCATTTTGTCAATTATTATACAGACTTGTTGATGCCAACTGTTTTTCACTCAGTACTATTTTCCGGGTAATTTACATTGTCTTTGGAAACCAGGGCACAATTTCCACGGATGGAACACGTGCATGTATGATTTTTAAAGCCGTGCACTGACTACATGATTTTATGCCGTCAACAGATACTTACTGAGCATATGTTTAAGGCAATGTGCTAAACTCTATCAAATATGAAATAAACAAACTCATTGCCATCAAGCTGATTTCAACTCATAGCGACCTATAGGAGAGAGTAGAATTGCCCCGTAGGATTTCCAAGGCTGTAAATCTTCCAGACTTTTGACCTTTTGCCAGTCTTTTGAGCTCTTAACTACTGCACCACCAGAGCTCATGATCAAATATGAAGGGGACCTATAATCAATTTCACATTGTGGAAGCTGATAACCTTTTTTTGACTTCACTAAAAGTTTCAAATGCTATTATTGTTGAATTGTTACATTACGAGGTCATTTATCTCAGAGGGGATCATATTGCTGTAACTGGTTTTGGCACATAATTCTTTGTATATGAAACAGGTGCTTATTCAAAAAAAATTATAAAGGTTTTTGTGTTCACAAGTCAAAATTTGGGGTCCATTTCCTAGCTTGAGTCCAGATGTGAATCAAATGAGATGAAGTGTTCAATAATACTTCTCTTAAACTATGAACAAAGAAATACAATCAAATTATGTTTATGGAAAAAGACATGCTTTAGCGTGGCTATATAATTCAGACCCATATTTATATAACTGGGAAACTGAGGCAAGCCTAGTCCTTACCTTCCTTTGCAGCTCTTGCGATGCTTACGATATCAGTGACATTTGGGGTCAACTTGGCAAAAAAAGGAACCTGAACAGCTTGCCTAACCCAGCGACAGATGTTCCGCACCAGCTCTGGATCCTGTTCAAATAGGTCAGTTAAATATAGAACATAATTAAAGAATTGTGATCAAAGTGTATACCAGAACAACAGCAAAGCTGGAAATGTGCAAGACAAATCTAACTTAACAATGATCTACATGATATATTTCTCAAATTCCTCCTCAGTATTACACCTAGACTCATTAGGGAACTAAGGTTAACACACTTCAAGTGAACTGCAAATTCATCACATAAAGGTTAAATTCCTCAAGGGGGCCTTTGGAAATAAAACTAGAAAGAACCAAAAGGAAGAAAGACTTCCCCACTTCCAGTTAAATAATATCAGGGATAAAACATAAACTTGTGGTGGTAAGTTCAGGAAACATTACAGGATTTATGTTGACCTCGTTGGTTCAAGTCTAACAAAAAAAAAAAAAATTTAAACTGCTCACTCCTGGGTGAATGATATTAAATCTGGTCTGTTTTCATTATTAGAAGACTTAGTCTTGCTGAAGTGTATTTCAAGAAACTCCATCTTTGACTTAATCATCAGTCTAAACAGGATATGTACTATACATTAATATGGACTAATTCAGTCTTAGATCATGCATGAGCTGATGAGTAACTTTAACTTACTTTTGTAAATGTCACCAAGATCTGTACACCATTTTCCCACACTCATCTACTTGAAAGAATTGATCAAAATGACAAAAAAATGAAATAAAATATCAAATGCTCGTTTTTAAAAGCAAGGAACAGACACTTTCTTGTGCCTGTTCCCTGCGATTTTTTAGACTTTTATTTTCTCACGGGACAAGTATCATTTAGAGGGCAATCACCTATCCTTTTCCACTGAAAATAACTTAGCTGTAGTAATGTTCTTTGATTTCAACACGTACAATAGTCCTTTTTTTATTACTTTTAGTGCAAAATTTATTCTGACAGGTACTGATAATGTGCTTTGATAAATTACCTTAAAATATGCGATAGCAATTCATTATTGAACTTAGTAATATTATCTTAGCAAGTTAAAATGTTTTTTTGAATAAAATAAAAACCCAGAAAAATGTAGACACATATTTAAACTATAAAACAGTAGGCAAGTATATCATTTGTAATTAATATTTTCATATGCAAGGAAGTTGCTCTTTGCATTTTAACCTTTCAAATTCTTTTAAGAGGAGATTTCTAATGTTATAATCTTTAGAAAGAACATTTTCACCTAGGCTTCATCTTTCCTCCTGTATTACTCTAAAAGTTATGCATTTATGTGCTAAGATACCGCAATGAGGTAACTTCTGTTGATTGTTATCGTCTCTATTCAGCAAAACTTAATAATTTTAGCAAGAAATCTTTGGCTTGGCTTGTCTCTTTTCAGAACAGTAGTTTCTTCATTAAACATAAATATTAAAAAAAACACTATATGGAATGCTGTATGGGGCATACTGTGCATTATGAACAGCACAATCTGGAGACTTAGCTGTACAAATTCTAACTCATGAAAATGGAGATCTGCCCCTGCCTATGCAATGTTCATGAAATATTTATAACCACTGCATTGGCATTATGAAGGCAGTTGCATCTTTGTGACTTTCATTTTTAAGTTATGAATTTCCACGGGACTTAGCCTAGAAATGACAGTAACTCTAGATGATATGAATTGCATGTCCTTTGTGAAAGCTTTCTTTAAGGTAGAATTTGACAATAATTTAAAGATCACTTCATTTGCATAATACATGGAAGGCAGCCTGATAATACCGAAACAAATGTACAATATTATTGGTTCCAATAAATACTAATAATCTGATATAGGTGGTTTCTAAGTGACTCTTAATACTATTGACCAACATGTCTTTATAATTTACCTCAAACATGTGTCAGACTTTTTTGCTGTTGATTTTCACTTATCTAGTTAACTATTTTTAATGAGTCCATTTTACTCATTGTTTAACAGTTTGGAATTTACTCAAAGTTTTGCAGTTTTTTATATACTTAAATCATGTATCTATTTCAAGATGCCATGATTTGACCCTTCTATGGCGTAGTGGTTAAGAGCTCGGTTGCTAAACAAAAGGTCAGCAGTTCAAATCCACCAGCTACTCTTTGGAAACCCTATGGGCAAGTTCTACTCTGTCTTGCACGGTCACTATGAGTCAGAATCGACTTGATGGCAATGGGTTTGGTTTTTGGATAGTTCTATGAGTAAGGTTGATGGTGTTCAGATATATCTTATCTTCACAGTCAGCCAAACCAGCTGCAGACTAATCAGCATAAGTTGCTGAAACAAAATTTGATTACTCAAGAATCTTCATAACAATTTCTGACCTACATTATTGTGAAAATGAAAGTCTCTTCTGTAAACTGTGAAGTTTTGTTTGACAGGCAGAAAAAGAATATCCTAATACAACTAGAAATGTGGCATATATAATAACATGATAAAATGAATCTGTATACTTTGGGGAATTAAAAGATAGACTATGAATATTCACATTTTGCTCATTTCCTCATACTTTTGATATGAACGTTCAAGATCTGCAAGCAATTTACAGTGTTTCTACATCTTGATTTTCTCATTTTCTACTGATAGCATCAAATGGCTTTGCCCATTCCTAATAAGCTAATTTTTAGAATTTTATTGAAATGAGTAAATTATAGACAATTTCTAATTCTCCAAAAAATCCTCAGAATAGGAAATGTATAGTTACCAGTATCTCTCAGACAAATTGTGGGTTAATAGTGTCAACACAAAAAGCAAATAGAACAAAACAGTTCTGGACTGCTCTTCTATTTCCAGATACAAAACATAGTAGATACTCAACAAATATTTGTTGTGTCATGCATGAATGATTGAAAACAGCATATTTTCAATTTCTCCATCTTTCTCCCTCTCTGTGTGTATTTCCATCAAAATATAGTCACTGTCTAGGTTTAAGAAAAAGCTGGATTTTTTGATGATAGATAATGTCTAAAAACTTCAAATCTAAGAAGACTATTTTATAAACCTGTGATAATTCTCAAGAAAAATGATAGGCAAATGTGCAAAAAATAGCTTAACAAGTCTTTTAGTGTGTTTCACCCACAGTCTACCTGAATCTCCAAGTCTTATACAGAAATCAATAATGCCCACCATTAACTATAATTTGCAATCTTTCCCACAGCAGCTCTCATGTATGTGTGTGTGTGCGTGCGCGTGTGTGTGTACTTCTTTAATACCTGTTAAGCCTTCTATGAGGGGCCCTGGTGGCACAATGGTTAATAAGTTGGCTGCTAACCAAAAGGTCTTCAGATCGAACCCACCACTGGCTTCGCGGGAGAAAAAACCTGGAGATCTGCTCCTGTTAAGACTACAGAGTCCTAGTCTGTCCTGTAGGGTCATTGTGAGTTGGAATCGACTGGAGAGTAAACAACCACCACCCTCACCCTTTTGTTATTTACGTGATTACCAAAAAAAGCTCTGAGGTAACAAAACCGGTTTTCTGTTATGGAGGTACGTAGCATTATGAGGGGGAAGGCATTGAAGCCCTTCCGTCCTGGAGGGTAAATGACAGTCTTGAAGGTACTATATGAGGTAAAGGTGCCAGATCAGACATGTGAAGTGCTGAAAAGAGGGTAAAAGCAGGTTAGAAATAATTTGGCTTATTTGACAATTTTAAGGAGAAGCATCCCTTTGTCTGCCTGCAATTAATATGCTCTGGCAGAGATTCCTATGAAAACCAAACAATGACAAGAGCGAAGACTAGAAAATGTAGTGCAGAGTAGATTGTTTGCAACAATAGCTTCCATTGTCCAAAACTGGTTGCTTTTAACGCTTATCGTCTTATCTGGGCCATATGATAATGATTTTTAGTTCTACTAAGTAGTGTGTGTCTAGTTATACATTAAAGGGGCTCTATGAATCATCCACCCTGCTGCCTTTGAGGCCCCTAAGGTAACCTTTCCACTGTGAAACAGGCACTTCTACCAGTTACTTAGGGCATTTGGTTTCATGCCTTGTACAAAGGAGCAAGCATGAGAAAATGAGATTGTGAGAATTTCTTCTTTTTTTTAAGTCAATACTGTATAAATTTATCTTGCTAAGAAATTAAAAAACATAAAATGTAACAGTTTTTAAATTGAATGCACATATCCAAAATGGCATTAGCAAGTTGAAATTCTTTTGTTATATTGGTGAACTCTTCTTTGTTCTTAACCTACTGAGCAGACATGCAGGGCACTCTCCTGTTTGTAAAATGCTCTAGTGCCAGCGTTTCTCCTTGTCCTAGGATTTCTGACCATCTTTTTTATTTCTATATTCCATTCCTATCTCTAACTCTTATCCGGCTCTGCTTCTGTCTTTCCCCGTGAGATGGTGGAAGCAGGTACCTAGCAGCGAGTGTGAGAGCCATCTCCCATGTCTCCCCTCTGACCCCCAGGCTGTGCTCACTGATTGGCTCCTAACTCAGGACAGTACCTTCTCCTCCTTTTGCTGGGGGCTCAGAGGCCCCACTAAGGCCTGGGCCACAGGTAGTAGTAGCTGCCTGTTACTTAGATTTTGCTTCGGCTTGCTTTGTTTAAGGTCAACTGATCATACTGAAAACAAGGAACTCAAAGCATTTTCTTGGTTTTTCAGGTAAGGGAAAATTTGGGGGTTTAATATTAAGTCAGTAGTAATTACAGCTTAGTCAGTTTGTTTAACTATACAAGTTAATTCTGTAAATCATACCTAAATCATTTCTATTTGGGTTTAGGAAGGAAACAACCTCTTTTTCAGCTTTTACTCAGTGTTGGTCAAATAATTGTTTTCCTTCCCCAAGCCCATCCTAGAGCATGTCAGGTGACAAAACCCAGCTCAGTCTTAAATCTTGACTAGATTGTCAGAATTTCTTGATAAGCTTAAATTACAAGTGAATTTTTGACTTGAAGAAACATTTCTTTCCAATTTACCTGGTAATTTTCACTCAGTACAAAGCTTTTCAAAATGGATTTCTTAGAAGCTGGCATAGTAATGAATCCAATGAAAAATTTTACTAGTTATAAAATGTTTTCCACTAAGGGACTCCTAAGGCTTAATTCACGTGACATGCCAAGAGGTGGCTGGCATTTTTATTATGTCTACTTTTCTGATGTAGAGAACCAGGGCTCAGATCATTTTGAGTACCAATTTCACCTTCTTAATTTTCTTTCCCATTATCATGTCCCAAACCATCATCTGCTTTTCAAAATTGCTCCCGAAAGTGAAATTCAGCCATCATTTGTAAACTAGAACTGTAAAAGGCTTCTGCATCATTTATACCTGTAAGATGAGATGTAGCTCAAAATAATAGGCAACAGTAATGCATTTATCCTTCTATGTCAGATAGGACAGAAAGAGCTAATTACTCCAGGTACAATTACTGGTAAATGAAAACTTGAGTGTTGGAATGGAGATGTTTTAAATTAACTTGTATGTTAGCGTGTGTCCTTCTGGCATCAGTTTTACTGACTTAAGAATTCTAAGTGTGGTATAACCACTTTGGAAAACAGTTTAACAGCTTCTTATAAAGGTAGACATGCACTTAACCGTCAACCCATAATTTCACTCTTAGTTATATATCCAAGAGACACGAAAACATATACCCACACAAAGACTTGCACATGAGTGTTCATAGCAGCCTTTTTCAAAACAGCCAAAATTGGAAACAACCCAATTATCCATCAGT